ATTTTTGCTATAGGGCACGTGTACTCACCAGACAGAAAGTGAGAAATCACTCCCCGGGGGGATGGCCATGCCTCAATCCCTTCTCCTCCATTCTCCTCTTGGGATCTTGGGAACGCACGCACACGCGCCTGGCGTAAGTGTCAAGCCACCGGGTCCAGGACGTGAACTGCAGTCGACTACATGGGAGTCCGGTGACATAGCCATTACTCTAACTGCTGGTCCCTTTAACTTTCTTACACATGGACTTTGATGTTTCATGAGTACATAATTTACTACTATGTAGGGGAACCAGCAGTTAGCGTAATGGCTATGTTGTTGGACTCCCACGTAGTCGACCGCGGTTCGCGTCCCGGACCCGGTGGCTTAGAACTCAACGCCGGGCGCGTGCGTGTGCGTGCCAAAGATCCCAAGAGGATAATGGAGAAGGGATTGCTGTGTGACCATCCCCCCTGGGGGGTGATTTCTCGCTTTCTGTCTCTGTGTCTCTCTCTGTCTGGCGAGCACACGCACCCTATAGCAAAAACCTCCCCCCCCCCAAAAAATTTACTAGTACGTTAAGGTAAAACCTTACTTTGTGAAATTAATGGAGTTAATTTTTCACAGGCATCAACTAAACAGTCAAATACTTCATCTGATGTTGAAATTGAAGAAAAAGAAACTAGTGCTTCAAAGGAAGATACTGATCATGAAGAAAAAACAAGCAATGAAGTATGTTTTATTTCTCTTTCCTTTGTAAACCCATTTTGTCAGGAAGAAATTGTAAAGTGAATTGACCATGGCAAAGTAGAAAGTAGTCTTTAAATATCTGAAAAATGAGTAAGGAAATGTTTAAGGCTTATTTCCTTCTGTGAACATTAAATACAATATTGTTAAATAATTTATACTTCTTTAAGAAGTGTAGATTTTTTTTTTTCTTTTTTTTGGGAGAGGTTTTCTCTATAGGGCGCGTGCGCTCGCCAGACAGAGACATAGAGACAGAAAGGGAGAACTCCCCCCCCAGGGGAGATGGTCACGCCACAATCCCTTCTCCTCCATTCTACTCTCAGGATCTTGGGCACGCACGCACACACGTCCAGTGTGAGTTTTAAGCCCCTGGGTCTGGGACTTGAACCGCGGTGCACTACGTGGAAGTCCAGCAACAGCCATTATGCTAACTGCTGGTTCCCAAGAAGTGTAGATTTTTTAGTCGAAGTTATTTTTGGTACAAAACACAAGATCCAACTGTAAGATGGTTGGTATTGATTTTTTTTTTTTTCACTCTTTCACTAAGGATTATTTCATTATTATTATTTTTGCTATAGAGCATATGTATTCAGTGGAGAAAGAGGGAAAGTAAGAAATCATCCCCCAGTGGGATGTCCATTCTACAATCCCTTTTCCTCTTTCTCTTCCCAGGACTCTGGGTATGCATGCACACTCAGCCAGCATGATTTTCAGGCCACTGGGTTCAGGACTCAAACCATGCAGTCAGCCATGTGGGTGGGATCCAGCCACCTTAACCTCCACACCACTGCTGGCTCAGTATTAGAAATATTTTTTAAAGAGAGGTATCATGGGATGGATGTAATAGAGAGGGCTTTAGACTGAATTTTTAAAAATAGGTAAAATCAATATTGGTCGATTTCTAACCATTGAGTTGGATATTCATTTAGCCCTTCTAGTCCTCATGAAATGGTTAGCTGATCTCTATCCTACCTGATCTCTATCCTACCTCCCTCTTAAAATTCATAGCCCTAAAATTTAGGATTCTATTGTAGAAAAATTTGCTTTATAAATAAAAATGGACAAACTACCTAGGGTACTAATAGTATTACTTTGTATGTGATCTGAAAGTGGAAATGCATTTTTTTCTCATTGAAGGTATTCTGTTCGTTTCGTAAATGTTAAGACTTTCAGTGTTTGTTTCTTCAAAGATCAGAAAAAGCAAATTTCCCCAGCACTTTTAGCAAAATGTGCTTGTGACTTTAAATGTAAAAGTTTTCTTTGTATAATTTATTAATTTTCATTTGTTTTGTTTGTTTTCTTAAAGGATGTGACTAAAGCAATTGACATAACCACTCCCAAAGCTGCTAGAAGAGGGAGGAAGAGAAAGGTAATTTCTCTTTTAAGATCCACAGGGATCTTAAAGGAATTTTTATTTTAGTTGATTGAGGAAAAATAGAGATTATGAGACCACATTTAAACTTAACCTTTTTTCTAAACCCTGTAATTAATTATTGAGTGGGAGAGACTGTGTGGGAGGAGGCAAAGGGGGAGTGTATTTTGACAGGGTCTCCCCATTAGGCCATATTGTGATCCTCCTACCCTAGCCTTCCTGTCATCTGGGATCATAGGCACAGGCTGCTAATAAGCCAGACCTGTTTTGGTTGGACCAAGCACCTTCCCAGTTGAACCACTCCTAAACCCTTTTATCTTTTAACAGGGTAGCTTATGTTGCTTACTTAGCAAAACTTTCCTAGTGATATAACACCATTAAGATAAGTTTAATAGTAAAGGAAATAATATACCCATTTTTTATTCTCTGTAAAGTAGATAATAATGTATACTCATTATTGAGGGGATTAAATGATTTAACACAGGCAAAGTATTTATAATAAATAGTGGTACCTAAATACTGGTAAGTGCTATGTAATAGTATTGTCTTCTATTGTGTTATTTCACAACATTGCTGTGTCAAATGAGAGTGAATGATAGTATAGGGCTATGTATGTGGTAGACCTAGTTAATGCGAGTTTCTCCTTCCCTCTGTAAAATGTGTTCACACCTTTTTTCTGACCTATGTATGTCTCCAACTGTTGATAATATGCCAAAGATACTAGTAAAACCAAGAGTCCAGTATCTCAGGAGGAAGTAAAATACAAAAACAAATAATCACTCACAGCTTTTTATCTCCTGTTGGGGTTGTGTGGAAAGACATGTGATAATTTAAAAAGATTTTAAAATACAGCCACAATTTTCTCAGGCTGGTAAAGGGTGGGGGGAGAGACACGTTATGCAGTTTGAATAGTATATACAGAGGCACAGAGAAAATTTCATTTCAATAATTTTTTAATGGTTGCATTTCAGTATTACCAGACTATAAAGTTTAAGGGAAATTAGTACCAAAAAATATAATAATAATCCCAGTGTTACCCTGAAGAACTAGAATTTAAAGGTGAGAAGCCTTTGAGTCATTTAAAATTTTAGATGCCTCCTTCATTAAGAGTGTTAAAGGAAGGGAACCAACAGTTAGCATAATGGGTACGTCGCTGGATTCCCACGTAGTCGACCGCAGTTCACGTCCCGGACCCGATGGTTTAGAACTCACGCTGGGTGCGTGTGCATGCGTGCCCAAGATCCCGAGAGGAGAATGGAGAAGGGATTGCGGCGTGACCATCTCCCCTGGGGGGTGATTTCTCGCTTTCTGTCTCTATGTCTCTCTCTGCCTGTCTGGCGAGCGCACGCGCCCTATAACAAAAACCTCTCAAAAAAAAAAAAAAGTGTTAAAGGAGGTTATAGGGTTCAGCATTGGATCTGACCAACAAGACTCATTCACTGAAAAACTCATTGAATTTTAGTACTAACTTTACTGGCCCAGGCATGAAATTGAGCAGTGAATAAGGAAGAGACAAGGTCTCTGTACCTGCTGGGTTTTACATTTTTATTGATACAGAAAATACATACATAAAACAAGGTTAGAATATGTAGGTGGTTTGGGGTTAAGGTGGCTTGATCTCTCATGGCCAGCTTTGCAGTTCCAAGTTTTAGTCCAGCAGTTTGAAGATCATGCCAGGCACATGTGCGTCCTAAAATCCTGGAGAAGGAATTGTGGCATGGCCATCCCCCCTCTACGTGATTTCTCACTTTCCTCCCCTCTCTCCCTAATATGAGCTATATATAGCAAAATCTTGACTGTGCAACTAAGTTACTAAAGACCTTTCTCACGGGAACCAGCAGTTAGCGTAATGGCTATATCGCTGGACTCCCACGTAGTCAACCACATTTCGCGTCCTGGACCTTAAAACTCATGCTGGGCGCATGTGCGTGTGTGCCCAAGATCCTGAGAGGAGAATGGAGGAGAAGAGATTGCGGCGTGGCCATCCCCCCTGGGGGTGTGATTTCTCGCTTTCTGTCTCTCTGTCTGTCTCTGTCTGGGGAGCGCACGTGCCCTATATCAAAAATCTCTCTCAAAAAAAATAAAAAGACCTTTCTCAGGAGTTGGTATGTGATTAGAAGGACAGGAACTTTACAGCAGATTTTTCAGTGGTGTAAATGAGAGATGAGATGTAAGTACTTTCAGAGGCTAAAATGATTGTTGACTGGACGGTGATAGTAAAGGGAGAGGGACAACCCCAGGATATTGGCTTAGATGAGTAGATTAGAGAGATTAGATCCTAGAAACGCAGAAGAAACTGGTGTGGGGTTAAAAAAGCATGGGGAGAAGGAAGTAAAGGACCTCTGGGAGTTTGTGGGAAGAGAAATATTATCACCAAAAGGGAAAAAGATAAAAGTTAAGATGCAGTAACTGGTATAAAAATAGAATAGATAAGGTCAAGGGAAAATGTTTATCAGAAAGAATACAGAAATCAGAATCTAGAAGGATTATAATAGGGAGGATAGAAGATTGCTTTCTCAAAATCAAGTCAACGGAGAATAAAATGTTAAGGTAAAGTTGATTTGTGCTTTTGAAATCTTCCAAGGAGCAAGAACTGCCACAACTTAACAGATTTGCATTGAGGAAAGGGCTTAAGGTGAAAAAAATAGTAGATGCCTTAGTAACTTTTTGCAAGACTTGGAAAGATCAAAGATGTAGAGTCAGTATAAATATGTAAGTATGTGCTAGATGAGAGAGAAGGGTGGGCACATTTTGAGGAATCAACAGGAAGGAAGAGATAAACATTTTAAATGCCTCTTTAACATAGAAGGGATGGAGGTAGAGGAGGCTATAAGAATTTCTAGGGAAGAATTGGAAATGAGGGGAATTCATTTCTGGTGGTCTCAATCTCCTCTTTCCCATCCAGTTCACAGCAGG